AAGCGATGCTTCTTTTGAGAGGGCCACTCAGGATCAGGAATCAACTCAGCAAGGGGAGCAGCTTGTGGATGGGCGGCAAGAGATTCAAAGAATTCAGCAACAAGCTTTGCCTTCTTCTTTTCATGCTTGGTAGTGTTGAAACAAAGAGTCTTGATTGCAGAGGTCTCAGTGCCMAAGGCAAGCTGGTTCTGATCAAGGCTCTGGAGGATGGATGCAAGGGTGAATTCTGTTGGCAAGGGAGCAGGAACCCCTTCCAAACCATTGGCAGCAAAAACATTGGGAACAGTAGTGGGTGCAGTAGGCAGTTGCAGTTCCTCGACTTCAATTCCAAGCTTCCTTGAATGGTCTTCAAGAATGGTAGGAGTCGTAGTGCTAGGAGCGTCGACGACGGTCGTAGTACTTGGTGGAGCGTCGACGACGGTCGTAGTACTTGGAGCGTTGAAAGTCGTAGTAGTAGTACTTGGAGCGTCGTCAAAAGAATCATCCATTGAAGGATTGTTTGCCGCAGCAGCAGCAGCAGCAAAAGGAGCGTCGTCTGGTGGTGGAACCAAAGGAGGAGGAGGATTTGCACCAGCTGAAGGATTCGTACGAGTACGATTTGCACGAGCGGCAACCGAAGGATTCGCACCAGCTGAAGGATTCGTACGAGTAGTACGATTCGCGCCAGCAGCCGAAGAAGGAGGATGACGAGGATTCTTCTTCTTGTATGGGTTCCTGGCCACCAGCTTGGAAGCTTTGGACCTAGTCTGGGGCGCTGAAGAAGAAGAACGGGTACAGCGACTGCTGCGGCGTGGAGGAATCGTTCGAACCATGTTGTTGGTGAGGAGGCCTCAAAAAAGAAGAAAGCAACAAACATCCAAGGAGTGAGGATTACAACAAGTTATGCTCATCTGTCCCACAGATGCGCGGGCAAGAACTTACTTTGAAAAGAAGCTGGTGGTGGTGGTGGTAGTGGCGGCGGCGGCGGTGGTGTTGCCATGGTCGTAACAACCAACGACCAATCGTCGACGTTTAAAAAAAGCATCAGAAAACAGTGATTTCAATAGATAAAACAAAAGAATTGAAGCCCGGCAATAAGGGTCACTTACAGCAATGCGTTGTTGTAAACAAGAAGGCAAACAAGTGGAAACAGAGGCCTATTTCCATGGTCTAGTTCAAAAGAAGCGGATTTCGTTGCTTTTTCTAAACTATGATTAGATTAGTGAGTGAGTGAGTGAGTGAAAACAACGATTGCGTAGGATGTAGTACAAAATCAACGTACTGCAGTACAACGTGGTACAAATTGCAGTACTAATGTGAATGGAATCCCGCGAGTTGTGAATGGAAATGGTTGTTACTAAGGAGTCACATACAGCTAACTACTGGAGGGACTAGCTATGTCCCACTATTAGCAATTAGCGACCAACTACTAGTTAGAGTGATTAGAGTGATACACGCGGCGCATGCGCGAAAAGTGGTACTCCGGTACCACTAAAAAGTACTTTGGTACCATCTTGTACCAGGCCTACGTAAATCACGTAGGAATGCAGGTTTTTTGTTGTCCCCCGGAAAAGCAGCAACAAACAGCAAACGCCGACCGCTGGCAAGGGTCTCCTCCACTCTGCTCAACCTTGCAAGCATTGGATTACACAACTAACACCCCTATCCTCTTGTCCTCCTCCTCGGCAAGTGAGCTGCTCTAAAATTTTCCTATAGGAGGCTCCTTTTCCTCGGCCACAAGGGCCTCGGAAAAGGAGCCTCCTATAGGAAAATTTTAGAGCAGCTCACTTGCCTCGGAGTCGGTTTTGGTGGCACGTGCTGTCCCTATCTAAAAGAAAATCCTCGGCGCATACGCGCCTCGAATTTTCTTTTAGATAGGGACAGCACGTGCCACCAAAATCAGAGGACGGGGTGTTACTTTTAGTACTGCTCCTACCCTTCATACTGTGAGCCCATATCTCAGTAAGCACCAAGTACTACTACTAGTACTAGTACTAGATGTTGCAGATCAATTGAAATTATACTACAGAGGGCATTCTTAATGCTAGTAGAGTTAACCTTCCAAATTTTAACTTAACCATTCCCAATGTCAGAATTAATGTTTGGCATATTACTACTACTACTACTAGTAGTAGTACTACTACTAGTAGTACAAGAACTACTACTACTGCTAGTAGTAGCAGTACTACTACTACTGCTACTACTATGATGACTGTTGTTGGCCTACTACTAGTACTACTACTAGTACTACTACTAGCAGTGGTGCTAGTACGCACTACTAGCTACTAGTAGTACTACTAGACAATGGTGATCCTCCTCCTGCTCCTGGTGGGGGTGCTGGTGCTGGTAGTACTAGTACTACTACTCCTAGTAGTAGTAGTAGTAATTGAGAACAAAATTTGCAGTCACATTTTTCATAGGCAACACAGAGCAGCATGACAAGAAGCTCTATGGGCATGATTTTACTTCTGGTGATAAATACCACTAGGACCCCCCAACGCCCCCATATGGTTAGAAACTCTCTAAAATGACTTTCAATTCATGTGCTTACTACCATACTTAAGCGTCTTTTGGGGACCAAGATATAGCTGTTCGAGTGAGTTGACCCTTACTAGTTTACATTCTACATGTTTTTGCTGTACTGGGCGTCAATTTTGGGCTTTCTTTTTACTGTCTAATGACCTATGGGATTAAAAATTTGATCTGTACTGCTGCTGCCGGTACAGCRGGGCATGTGCTCAAATTTGATTCCCACCAGCCTTGTGACCAATTAGTTTCACACGCATGTGCTCCTCTTGATGTACCAGGAGTATGTGTTATTTAGTCAAAGTAGTACAKCCCAAAATCTATGACTGTATTGTACATTTCCAAGCCACATTTAAACAATACACACTGCAAAAAAGGAAGGAAATCACTTCAGCAGTATGTTGCCATTACGGATCCTTTCTCTATTATCTAAGGAAGGTTGCAAGCTGTTGGGGCCATATCACAATGAGGAAGAGATTGATGGATGCAATGTTCAACAAAGCTCTAGGGATAAGAAGTTCTTATCCCTAGAGCTTATCCTTCCRTGAGCAATTCCATTGCCTGATCTGTTAAAGATATTGAGAGTGGAGTGAATGGTCCTCAAAATATCATCCAGTTCCTTCTTGGCAGTTGCTTTTGTGAAAATTGGGCAGGCTATCACCATGTTACTGGCAATGAAAACATGTGTTGTGAATTCCATGAACACTGTTTGGACCTCTCTATTTACCACCTTGCCAAATTTATCATTGTAGTACTACTAGTAGTAGTCTTCCTGCTCCAAAGCTTTCTTCACAAGTACCTTCAGAACTTTCTGCTTCTTTTTGACATGATCACCACCAGCCTTCTTCTGCTGGGCCCTAACATACTAAGGGTTGGTTCACTACAAAAGGAAGATAGAAACAATGGGGTAGACATAGTGGATGTTTATCATAATTGATTCCTGTGCTACCAGYCTGGGGGGAAATTAATGGTTGTAGACCAAAAGAAGCAATATGACTAAAAATTGTGGTGATGGGTTCAAACAAGAGCTCGGTAGTAGTTAACTTGTTTGGTGGAACACACAGGTGGAACACAATATGGGGAGCAACAGGGAAAAGATCAGCAAAAACATTTATTGGTACTCCAAATACTGGTCACCATAGAAGCAGAATAGGTAACTACAACATCTTAGGAGGTTTTCTGTTACTTCCTTGCTAGGTGCAAACAGTCAAACCCTGGAACACTATTCTCTGATGAGGTAGTGTGTTTTTTTTTTCAAAGCCACAAGAAGGTACTACTAATAGGTGCTTGCAGCAACTGTATGATATTCTTGTTTTCTGTTACTTCAGTTTTGAACAAAGTGAGATATACATAAAACAGCCGGACCCTGGAACCCTATTCTTGGTTACATTACTACAGTAGGTTTTTGAGATAGAGTTCAAACCAGAAATTCAAAAAAGGGAGAAATTCAAATTTTTTTTGGCAATGGGACACAGGAATTTGGTGTCATCATGATCAGGGGACCACTACTATTGTCCACTCTGAACAATGTTTCATCCAAACCATCAGATGGTACATATATAGCTAGTCTGATTGACAGTCATTGCGATAGTAATCTGGTACACAAAAGTCCTTGCCAGGGACGTATCAGTTAACATAATTACATGCATACTAAGTTTGGATGGCAGTACTGGACCTGCTGCAGTCTATGAAATCCTACAAGAACTGTGCCAGAAAAAATTGTCACAGCAATGATATTTAAATGGTGGCTAGGGAAAAGCTGTGGCAGGCACCATTGTGCACCAGAATTYCACCAACGCATATGCAAGAAAATGATACAAAAATTCTTATCCAATAATCTCATAAAATTGTACAAGACAGATCAAAATTGTTACTACTACTGAAGTACTACTATTGTAGTACAAAAATTAAATTGAACAGTAATTTGTTTGACAATAGTTGAACAAAAATATTAGATGATGTGCATAAGTGTTAGGCTCCCTGTGTTGACAATCTTTGACAACTAAGTTGAACAATCTGGTTGCCTGCTTCTGTTTTGCTTCAAGTTGTAGAAGCTAGTACATTTCTCAAGGCATCAAAGCAATACTCACAATGGTCACTCAGATTATTGAACTGGATGTACAGCAACAAGATGTAGTGATTATCATGGAGGTTTGTGATGCTGGAGTGTGTCAGTGTGAGACTTTATTGAAACAGATGCTAGTCAACTACATAAAGAAAGTCTTGTTCAAGCCTACCAAGTTCCATGTTCCTGATAACACCATGGAATGAATTGTTGAAAAAGGGATCAAGGGAATTTTTAAGGGGCACTGGTTCCAAAAAGCTTGGTTGTCTCTGCATCACTGCCTGTAGATGCAAGCTAAAGGTAAGTAGAAATGGATAGTAGGGGCATGGTGGTTCRTGCTAGTGAGCAAGTTTGTATCTGAGTGCCATCAATCTCTGCTTATTACACATAGACAACAACAACAAAAAACAGTGTGGTACCTGGATTGTTTAGTGGCAATTGCTTCATAATGGAAGGAGATGATGGAGGAACCTTTGAGTTGAAATAGAGCTACAGATGTGTAAATACTCCTGAATTCAAGTACTTTGTAACAAGAATCTCTGGGGCCATGTCTCCTAAAGAAACCAGGTTCAAGCAGAAGAAACACAAGGATACATTGAGTASAATTTTCAGCCCAACAGACAAAGTGTTCTATCTCCTGTTCTTGCAAAAAGATTACAAATTGTGGAATAATTTGGGCAGTGRAAAGAAAACCCAAAACAATTCACAGATAGTAGAGTTGAAAGCAAATTAATTTTATGGACRCAGGAAAAACTCCACACCATAATATCAATTAGTGTGACATGATAATAGTAGCTAGTAGTAGTATAATCCCCATTCTTGGCCATTTGGTACTACGATTACTGCTACTAGTAGCTAGTAGTAGCAGCAGCACCCCAGCATCCAAAAATAATAATCTTGGTTCTGTTTCAGGGGTGATGCCAATAAAGAGGAAGAAAAAGGACACCTTACCTGCTACAGTAATGGGCAGTAAGCATAATATTAAGTGAATATTCAGAATATTAAATTCAAGCAAAACTGTAGTACTCATCTCTACACAGGCCTATGGTGTTAGTAGTAGTAATATCATTTGGAATGCAATGTTAACATTTGGAATGCCCTACTGTGCAATATAATTTTAATCAATCCACAATGTTTTGTGATTCTTTTCTCAGTTAAGAACTTCAGGCAAGAACAATATATGAAGAAGTATCAATACTCCATACATTGAACCACAACATCAAAATTACAGTCTTCAGCAGTACTAGAAGAATTAAGAACTATATTTTGACAAACATCTTCAACTGTGTTGCTGATATTCCCTGCCCCCTTCGATAACTGGAAAAAGGAGGGATGGAGAACAACAACAAGAAGAATTCCATTAATGAACATCTCAGAAAACAAAAATTGAACAACAAGATACCTGCCAGCAAATGTCTTTGTTTTGGAAAAAAATGTATTGCTTTCCACCAAATTTCCAAATATCCTTCCTTATTACTAGTAGTACTATTCCCACCATGCTTGTATTTCCCCCCCTGCTAGTGCAAATAACTTCTACTAGTAGTAGTACTAGTAGCACTAGTATCACAATGACAAAAGCACTGATGTACTAGTAGTAGCACTAGTAGTAGCACTAGTAGTAGCACTAGTAGTAATAATAGTGATAGTGGCAATCTAATTGCTTTCAATGACCACAAACTCATGTCAGAAGATAAGTCCTGGGCCTGGGACTTGGTATTCAATGTAGTGAGCAAAACGACAGATCTGGGGATCCTATTCCAGTTCACCTCTCCCATCTTTTTAGGGAAAGAAAGCCATGCATACTTCTCTCTTACTTTGATGGTCTAGTTGACTGTACTAGAAATTTTCTTTCGTTTCACTCAAATTTTTAATCAAACATTGGAAGCTTGTTTCTTATCAAATTGGTTTTCATTTCGTGCAATGAACTATTGAGGTAAATCCACGAGCAACTCGATACTAGTAGACAGTGCTGTCATCGCAACAAGAAAAGTTGTCGTAGTTGCACACTCTGTTGTTTTTGGAATATCATACAAATATGGAATGCCTTTTGAGTGAAAAGCACAGAAACAAATGCATGCATTTGTAGAATTTGAATAGCGGACGAGAATCATTGAATTCGGTAAAATGCAACTTTGGGATATGTACAAATTGCATTCAATGATGTCAACTACGCAGTAAATTTAAAGACAACAAATAGTATGTTCGACAGCAACGCCATTTCTTTGCACAACCAAATTCTATCCGAGCAGTGCAGACATGCTGTTTTTCGACTCGTACTTGGTCATAGTTTCCTACAGTGTTTTGCATCGCTTCGTCTCGGTTATAATTTTTTGGTATTGGTTTTTCGATCTCTCGGTCTCTTGCTCGCCAAATCATATCTAACCTCCTGTGTAATAAGACAGGAATAATAGTGTTCCAAACAGAATAATCACTAGAGTTCCTGGTATCCACACGCTCGGGTAGTCAACGTCTTCGTGGTGTCCACAAAAGAACAAGCCGCAAGGCATGGTCTGCGCACTCGATACTTCAGAGAACATGCGTCGGTATATGTCGTCCGAGACCGCCAAGACATAGTTAGTGGGTGGTAATAGTGGTGGTTCAGGGCTATTGGGATCGAATCCTTTACCTTCCGCCTTTTTGCTCTTGAGAGGGTGGGCGTCTAGTGATTCCCATTGTGGAGTAACGCCCTGTTCCAAATCATCGCTAACACGATGATATTCTTCGTAGTATTCGGTCATATTTACCGGATTGTCGGCATACAAATGGCCTATCGTAAGAGGTGGATAATTTTCCTCCTCCGCGGTATCTTCGTCACTGGAAGAATCCAAACTGGAATACTTGGACCTRGTTGCCCTTTCCTTTGTTTCTTTGTTGGGAATCGCAACCATTCGAATAGCTTCGTAGGGAAAGTACAGAAGAGGCCTTCCCTCCTGGTCGATGCCACCGAACATGCTCGACTTGGCAATGTTYGAGCGCATCGACACCATGCTAGAATCGGCCATCGATGCACCTCCGTARCTTCCTCCGCCCATACTGTGGTAACTGCTAGAAGAGCCGCTACGGCGGTGACTGCGGGATCTTCCGAGTGGGTTTCCTCCGCTRAGCGTACGCGATCGATTATGTCCATTTGCCAAGAATTCACCGCTGTTCACCCGGCGATGCATCCGGTTTTTCCGAAGCAGCGGATTGTCGGAATGGACCCGGCGGTGGTTTCTTCCTTTCGGCACCGACGACGGCGACGACTCGTTTGCATTGTTGTTCGTTCGACCGCTAGTCGGTTGCTGTGCTCTTCCAGAGGGGGGGAGGCGGTGGATCGGAACATCGTAAATCTTTGGCGACGTGCTCAGGCTTCCGTATCCCGTCGGTGATGCCTCTTTATTGAAAATATCGTTCAGGGGTGGCAAACCTCCAGACTCAGTGGTCGTATGATTTGGCGCGGAGCTACTAGGGGTTCCGGCTCGCAGCAGCTGATTTTGTCGCTGTTGTTGCTGAACAGGATACAGGAGATGGGGCGGATACTGATATTGTGGATGTTGCTGTTGTGGAGGACCACCACCACTTTGTTGGGGTGGAAATGGATAGTAATATGGCGCCATACCTCCCGGGCCAACCATCTGCTGAGAAGGTTGATTGGGGGAGTGAATGATGATCGGACTCTGCTGCTKTTGTTGTTGTGTGGGTAAGTAGTGTCCGGGAGGAGGCACGAAATAACTCGATCCGTTCGGGGCCATCGTATTTCCTCCGTTTGCGTTTGAATCGTACGGCGGTGGAGGTGGAKGCATACCGGAATGCTCCGGGTAACCTACTGGCGGTAGACCCGCATGGCTTGTCTGTTGCGACGGTTGCTGCAGAAGAGGTGCGGACTCACCAGAAGGATCTTCTCGCCGCTCCCGGTTGAGCGATGCCATCTTCTATGCGGTGTGGTGTGCGCGAATATCGAATACTCGCGTTTGYTGTTTCTATTGATCTCGAACTCGATGKGTTTTGATGGCTTGAAGGTATTGCATATAGCACAGTCTGGACCGAAACCCAAAGCAAAACGCCAGAAGCACCGASTGTGGTAATGTGTGCCTTTATGTCTATGCTCGTTGTGTGGATATGTGTTCTGGTAGTTCGATTCCTTCCACACCTGTCGAGTTGAATGGGCGAGATTAGGTGCGCGGATGAGCTAAAAACGACAGAAAAACGGYATTTTACGCGTCAACGCATGCTTTCGAAGATTCTTGCCGTTTGTGATGATGGAAGACAGCGATCGAACTTTCCCATCAGAATTTTGAATCTTGCTTCATGTTACTTGCTYTGGTCCACAATGAGTGTCCAGTTTGCACCTGTTCTATTGAAATAAGCTCAATATTTGGGCGATTCMAWTGGTTCTTTTTGTGCTTAACAGATATATTATAGATGTATACAGTTRTGAAGATTYCATATGATGAAAACATCTGACGTGTTTGCAATAGCTAGTTAATGGGACCCCATTTCAGCATATGATTTTCATTTTATGGGTTGAAAGAAGAAGAAGAAGGATTCTACTACCACCAGTCATTTAGGGACTGGTGGACTTGGAGGAATAGTAAGATAGTCTTGTGTATTTTATCAGGCCATAAGTGTGTGTCAAAGGAACATTCTAGTGCAGTCATAGTGGGTCACTAGAGGAAGCTAAAAACGACTCTGGTTGCATGCAGTTTTCATGCGGGTTCTTTTTTTTCGGTGCTGGAGAGAGCGCTGAGAGGAAAAAATTGAGAAGAAATTGTGCATCGCGCATGGTACAAACATGCCCCCATCTTATTTTCACATGATAATTTCACTCTTGATTTTGNGTCATTTAGGGACTGGTGGACTTGGAGGAATAGTAAGATAGTCTTGTGTATTTTATCAGGCCATAAGTGTGTGTCAAAGGAACATTCTAGTGCAGTCATAGTGGGTCACTAGAGGAAGCTAAAAACGACTCTGGTTGCATGCAGTTTTCATGCGGGTTCTTTTTTTTCGGTGCTGGAGAGAGCGCTGAGAGGAAAAAATTGAGAAGAAATTGTGCATCGCGCATGGTACAAACATGCCCCCATCTTATTTTCACATGATAATTTCACTCTTGATTTTGTTGCACCTCCTGATTCACTCTTCAATCATTGTTTCTTTCCRCTTTCTTTCCTTTCAACTGACTAAGACTGGCTTCTTTGCACCGGCTTCGTTGCACCTCAAGTGACTCATAGAGGCGTCGCCTCACCTCTTGTGTCCACTAAGAGGGGATCCATTGACGTTGTCTCCTCTAAGAGGGGCGCAGGGGAGTGTGTCTCCATTGAGCCAAAGCACCTCCGTTGTCTCCACTAAGAGGCGGGGTGGGGGGAGTGCATCTCCATTGTCTCCCCACTAAGAGGCGCACAGGGGGGGGGGGTGCATCTCCATTGAGCCAACGCATCTCCATTGTTTCCACAACAATGACTTGTGTTGTCTCCGTTGCTTCCACTAAAGTGGGGGAGGAAAGGACCGACTTGCCTTGCTCCTCCATTGCTTCCACTACTTGCCTTGTATCTTTGCATCGTGCTTTGATGCAACAATAAACCAACATTTTTGTTGCTGATGTATCCTCCTCTCTTTGTGCCTTGGTTTGCCACTGCTTGTTTTAACTCACTTCCCCCCCCCCCCCCCTTTGTCCTTTCTAAGCAAATCAACAGCAAGAAGATGCTTGGTGTAACTGATGCAATCGAGCTTCTTGAGGCAAGCAATGTGGCAACAAGGGAATAGTAAGGCAAGCAATAAGACAAGCAATACAGCAAGCAAGGATATGGCAAGCAAGGATACGGCAAGCGAGGATACGGCAAGCGAGGATACGGCAAGC